GTTAGCAGGAAGCTCTCCACACACTCACCGGACCTGGGCTAGGACTGGGTCTGGGGGTTCCCAGAAGTCAGCAGAAATTTCTACTGGGCGGGAGGGGTGGGGGAGGTACGGCGGAGTGGTGGGGGGGCGGCCCATGCTGCGCCTGGGCTGGGACTCTGTCTCTCTCATTTCACTATTTTTCTACAACTCATATTGTTACCAAGAAATGCTCACAGCTCCTAAAATTGACCGTGTTCTCCCTTCTTTTTATGTCTCCTGTACTTTCTGCCTCACTTAATCTCTCAACTTGGTCAACTTCCTCAAGATTGTCTCAGGTATCAGCTCTTTTAGAATGCTTTCCCTGCAATGCAACCCAGTTCCACAGTACCTCAGGTGTAACTTCCCAGCCACAGGGAAATTCTCTGCATGAATTCCCACTGACTGACTATGAGTTTCCTAAGGGCAGGGACTATATCTTCAACTTCAGTATATTCATTACCTACCACAGCGCATGGTACCATAGTTTGTGAAGGAAAATAATAAATAAAGGAGAGGTCTAGAACTTGATGACACCATGAGGAAGTCTTTGGTTTGATTCTAAGCCAACAGAGGAATAGGGGTTTTAATTCATATAAGTAAGTGAAGACTGAAAATTAATGTAGAAAGTCAAGAAAATAATAATATATGGACACTTTTATAGTATTTTTCAGGTGTATGGATCTAGGTTGATTTACTTTGGATTTTAAAAGGAAAAAAGGCAAAAGAAAGTTCTGATAACCTATAACCAAGAAAGTCCACATCTGCTTAAGGTCTCAAAGCAAAAAAAGACACCAGTGAACAATGTATGGCTATGCTCAAGTAGATATAAAATGAGATTTATCTAAGAGTTACATCAGTACTCACCAAGTTCTTCAGAGACATTCTTTGCCAGATATTCTGTCTCTTTCATCAGCTGACATAAAATCAATTTAAATCTGTTGGTAGTACGTGGTTCAACTTTCCTGGAAACTAGAGCCATCAAAGGAAAAAGATTTTTTTGGGTAAGGACAGATCATCAGTCAGTGTAGGTATGTATCTTCAAATTCTTCACTGCCCTTGTTACTTCCTCCAGACAACCAGAGGTCCCAGCCTCATTGGCAAGTGGTCTAAACAACACAACAAATGCTGTAAAAACTTGGAACAATTCCCAGTTGATTACTACCATGCTAACAGCACTTGTCTTTCTTGGCCCAGGTCTAGCCCAGCTTCTCATTCTGGCTTTCCTGTTACCTCTACTCTGATAAGGTGAATAGTCCTCTTATTTATGTAACTGCAATGTCCCAAGGCTATTTCTATACTTTCCTATTCTTTCTCCCACGTAATCCCCCATTGATCCTATATTCATTATAGATCCTAGGATTGTTTACTGTATTATTTCAGCAAAACTTCACTAATTGCCTATCATATGTCCTGCTCTGGCAATAGAGAATTGAAAAGAACACACCCATTGCTAGGTAGCTAAATAATATCAGAGTTCTATAAAATAAATACTGTATGTGCAAGGTGTCATGGAGCTCAGGAAAAGGAACATCTCAACTTTGGAGGGGGAATCAGTGGCATAAATATAGGAAGAAGAAAAGAGAAAGCAAGAGCAGTCATGTACTAAGGACAGCATGGACAAATGATCAAGAAAGGAAGCACATGATATGCCTGAGGGACTTAGAGGAAGGCAACATGTTAGGGTTACCTGATTTGTGAGAGAAACTTAGAAGGCTTGAGTAATCAGATTATAAATTTGTGTATGATGCTAAAAAGAATGGCTACCTTTGCTGACCTCCATATAGACAATTCCTCAAAAGGAATTAATTTGGGCTCCTTCCCCATTTCATGTGTACTATATAGTCATATACTGCTCTGACAGTAAGAATGAAGTCATCTCTACTTTCTATATTCCTTGGTCTCTTGCAGGACTAGTATAATTAGTCAATAAACACTTGCTAAATGATTTT